AGAGTTGTTAAGTTAAAATCCGTGGAGGTTGGATGATAGGTAAAAGAGGGGGGAAAAGGGCAAGAGCGATCGTGCTAAGCAACCATCTTGTCTGCAGGTCACGTGCCAATCCAGGAAGAACTTTCATACTGGTTTAAATAAACATTATGATTGTATTTCCCATCTTTGCTCACCAACAGTTTTGTTTGAAAGAAATTAAAAGTCTGTCCCATTTAGATGCCTGTCCTAAATATAAGCCTGTTGAGTTCAGTGATTTAAGCAAATAATGGCCCAGGGTATTGATTGTTTTGCGGTATATATCATGATGTTTTTTGAGGCTGCATTTTCAATCATCTATGATTTATGAGTCTCTCACCCTGTTATAATTGTCAATATATCGATGAGAATTAAAGCGGAAATAGATGAATAGACAGTATTTGGGGATGGCATTGCATAACTTTATTCTGCTCTCTCTAGAACAAAGAAAATGTCAAATATGCCCTCCCTGAAAATATTCAGATTTATTCACAAATGTTAAGTGATATCAAGTTACGTATACAGAACATATGTCAATACATCATACATAAAACATTACAGCAAAACTGCCCCGTGTGCAATGCCAGATTATTGACTTTATGTATAGAACACACATGCTCACTCTTTCCCATGGTTATCCAACTATAACTGCACACTGAGGTGCTTACAGCACTGTTACACACTTATGGTATTACTATAGAATTACTATATGCTGTATATACAAATGCTTATTGGTTGCAGTTTAAATATGTCGTGCATGTGGCTTCTTCACATTGTGCTTCCAGGACTCCTCTGTGAGATGGGAAACTTGCTTTTCTCCATTATGTTCTCTGTGTAACATAAAAGAGGAAGCTTTCTTTGGACAGGTGTTAGCTATGGATATTGCTGTTATGCTGGAGCCACATGTGCAGACAATTTAATAAATGGTCATTTGGGTTAACTGTGATGAAATATTGCAGAAAGATGAGTTTGAAAAAAAAATTACACTTTTGATCATCTGCCATCATCATTTCATAAGCACAGTTGCACTGAGAATGTCTCAGCGCCTGTTAGTTATGTCACGGTGTCAAATGTGGCTACAGATTCCCAGCCCTCACCCACACAGCCTACTAAACTGGATTCATTTTATTCTTGAAAAATAAGAACTGTGTGCAGCTCCCTCATTATTGTGTATGTAATTATGTTTTTTTTCCTGTGCAGCTCTGAGCTCTGGAGGCCTTTGTGAACACAACCAGTGGCTGAAGGGTGCTGCTTGTGCTGTAACTAAAGAGGGATCTTAAATTAAAGAGTAACTTTAAATCAGGCTGAGAAGCAGTGTGTGATTGTCCTTTGTGGTTCGAAGTTTCAGGTATGTTGCACCTCTGACCACACAGCAGCTGTTTGTCCTGGTGTATTAATTTCAGTGCACCTTTACATCACTGCAGCAAGGTTAGAGGTCCACCCAATACATTCTCATTCCAACTAGTCAAATATCATCGTTTTGTCAGTGGATTTCACCTCTACATATGACACATTATGAATCCTCCTGCATCTGTTGTTGACATTCTGGGACTTGTGTCAATTTATGCCTGTTACATACATTGTTCTGGATCAGCGTTTTAATTTATGTTTGTTACATGCGTTGTGTGTCTTCAAAATACAATTCCGCTTTCACAGTAAATGAACAGTTGCTGCTCGTTAGATGCGCACAGTCTTTTTCAAAACAATGTTGATAAAAAAGCACATGGTGGTTAGGTTTAGAAAAAACATCATAGTTTGTCTGACGCATAAATCACTGACAAAGAGGCAGTGTTTGATGAGTTGGAAATGAAAATGGGTTGGTCCACCCCTGCTGAATATAACTATACAATATCAGATCATCATCACCTTGAGACCAAAATAAAAACAAATACCAGCCCTCAAAATCAGCAAAACACAGTCTGAATCTCTGTCATGATCAAAGTACAGCATATTGACTCTGTAGCCCATTGGTCTTTACAAAAGTCATTTCAGCTTGTAATCTAAGCAAATCATGATAAATTACAAAATCAGCCAATAAGAGGAAACTAATGCTTTAAGTATTTGCAGGTTCCTGCCCATTCATTAGCTCCCACAGAGTCTGCCACTCCCCGCAACCATCCCGTACATGCAGCACAAAACAGGTTTTTCTACATAATTTTGTAGATCCCAACCTCAGGCTTGACACAGCATGATTGCTTTGCATGGGATTATGAGCAGTACCAGAAGCTATGTTGGCTTCTTCTAACCATGACCAACAGCAACCAAGAAATTCTTTCTTTGATCACATAAAAACAATGATTTTCTAAACTTAACCAAGTTGTTTTTCAAATTCAAATCATGATGTTTTGTCACTAACTTATATCATTTTATATGCCTACAGGCCATGTAGATTTATTGCTTATTAATGTGACTTTATTAATAGATTTTTGACTCTGTTTAGAATGACAATGGTGAATCACAGACCAGACGATCTGGTTCAAAGTGCTTTGATGGTGGTTGAGTTGGTAATGCAGTAAAGATTGTGGTGATGGAGGAAGTCTTTGGTCATCTTGACCGGTTTCAGCCTGTAAAAAATACTTAAGTTTTAAAGTCAATTCTACACCACTGATTTGCAAAGATAGTGAGAAATCAACATACATTCAGTTCAATATCAACAATCTTAGCCAGTGATTAAACTAGTAACTGACACTGAAATTAAAATTCATTTAAAATATTTTAACTCAAACAATATAGCTTGAGTCCTTTGAAATCTAGGTTTTCAAAATGGGATCCATGACCCTTTGTGGGTTACTGCAGGGGACCTGCCAAATTATTGTTTGATAATTCACTTCAAGTTTTAATTTAAATAAGGTTAATTTTCTTCCAAATATTAAAGTATATCTTGAAATACACATTACGTCTAACCTATTTTTAGCAAGAATAAATCAGCCTATTCCTTAGAAAAGTAATAATTTACAGTCCACATCACTGATGATAGGCTAAGTGTTTCCTATGAATCCTTTTACAGTAATGTAAGCTAACTAACACTAAATCACAGTGTGGCACTTATCCATAATGGCGAGGTGTACTAGCTAACAGTAGTGCGCACTATTGAAACATATTGGCCAGTTAGCTGTATTATTATTCCAAGTGTACAGACATTCATCTGAGCCACAATGGATTTTTTGTAAGTTTTTGAGCAAGCCACTCTGACACACCGTCCACCTCAGAAACCTGCACCTGGCGCACTGCTGTTTACAGGGCGGATTGAAAAGCAAGTAATTTTCTGCTGAGAGTAATGCAGTGAGAGCAGTAATGTCACTGTTTCACAAATATCAGGGGAAATTTCAACACGTTCTCATCTCAACTCGTCAAATACTACCACTTTGTCAATGGACTTTCAATATCTAAATATGACGTGCTAGGCACCCTCCTGCATCTGTTTCATTTTATGTTTGTTACATGCATTGTGTCTTTTCAAAATTCCCTTCCATTTTCACAGGTAATGTACCTTTTCTGCCTTTTCCTTGTGCAACATTCACATGGGAAGCAAACAGCGGGCTCCTGGGTAAAAGTCCAGTGTTTGCTGCACCCATCCACTACACCTCCTGCCTGCCCTATAAGGAATTTTGTGTTTTTTATATTAAATTGTTGTCTGTGGCGTTACAAACTGACGCCATCTGGCAGCGTATCAGATGAGTTGGGAATGACAGTGGGCTGGACATTTAAACAGCAAAACTAAAAATTGCAGTTATAAACTTGTCAGAGGAAACAGTTAAAAAAAAGTTATGCTGTTCCCCCAGTGCACGAATGTACACAGTGTCTATCTTAGGCCCTGATCACACAGAAAGGGTCTTGCATGTTGCAAGATGCAGGGTGCACTGCACTGCCTTTTTTTTTTTCTCTTTAAACTGAATGCCACTAAAAATACGCTTGCTGTGCCTTTCTATTGTTGCCGGGCAACTACCCCATCACCACCTTACCCTAACTTTCTCATTCATTTTATTTATTTCACAGTGATAAATAGCTAGTTCCTAAAACTTGCTGTAGCTCTGGTTGCAGGTGAGAGGCTGTCAGCAAATAGTTTGTTGGGCACAGGGAAACAGAGATCTGTGTGGATACATGAGACCCTAAGACAGAGGGTGGATCACGGGGAGTACCACCAGTTGGCCCAGGAGCTTCGCCTCCATAATGGCTGTCTCAAGTGCTGCACTTTTATGCCTCCATGCCTGCTGTTTTCTATTGAGATCGTGGTATCTGTAGTTTAAGTCATATAGCTCTGTATCCAGAAACCGCTACCACCTGTTTTTCCTCCATTGTTTACCTACTGTAAACTTATTGTTGTGACCAACACAGAAGGACTGCCTCTCAAGTCATCCAGTTGGACAATGGGAAAAAAGCGGAGATGATGCAGGGCACTTGGAGTTCAGAGCGCTTCGGCAAAAACACCAGGCTCCTGAGCGCAGAAACACAAGGTGTGTAGCAACGCAAAAACTGCAAGCAAAAAGCTACATTCTCATTAAAAACAATTACAAAAAGCCACCTTCAGCTGCTAAAACACTTTCTGTGTGATGGAGGCCTTAATGAGGAGTCAGACACCAACTCTGCAACTCTGGTCTGCTCTCTATGTTCACATTTTACGGAATGTAATTAATATTTTCCTCATTAATTATATATTATTTTACCCATCTGCAAACCTCATGTGTCCCTGCATGTGTAAGGCAGTGTACATGCATTATGAACCTGCCTCTATAGGCACACATTACTATGTGAATAATGTTCCTTTAAATGGCAGGAAAATACTGCATCATTCTGACCGTAGACCTGTTTTGTTTTTTTTGGTCAGTGGTGCAATCGCTTTCTGTTGCCTCAAATGAAGCAATACACCAACAATGTTCCTGACAACACCTCAATTTAAGACCTGGGTGCACAGATAGGTGCAAGTACTTATACAATATGGGTGCTGGCTGTGAAGATGTCACCTAAATATTTACTGTTTATTGGTCTTTCTTTTTTTTTTTTTTTTTTACCGATATGTACTTATTATATTGCTTTGTGTTTTGGTGCTGATGCTTCTTGTTTGCACAATCCCTTTTGCTGCTGTAATGATGCAAATTTCCCCGCTGTGGGACTAATAAAGGATTATCTTATCCTATCTTAAATCTCCTGCCCCAATGTTCTTGACCCTGTACTCCAATGAAAGTGACATCAGTCACTTGGACCAAGACTACTGATTGCCAGACTGCAGTGACATTTATTCTCCTCAGAATAATGTGAAGTCCATAATTTGATTTCCGTCTTTGCCTTTCCTTTTAATGTCAGATGGAAAGGAAACATCTTTGTCATTATTATTATTATTTTAAAAACTTAAGACTAGATTTTTAATAACATTTTCAGTGGATATTCATGATCTCCAGACGATGAATGCCTCTGTTTTTGCAGACCCCCAATCTCTCCTCTACTGCCATTATTGACACTACATTTACTGTACATTTGTCTAAAAGAAATGTCAAAATCTGATGACAGGTTACTCTGAAACGTATTGAGTACACTCATATTCACACAAACCCTCTCCATTTTGGACACAGTGAACTTTCTTCTATCTCCAGTCTCAGTCCAATAACTTTGCACATAGGATGTCTCATGATCTATCTGGTAATTTGCCATGGAAAATGTTGAGCATCATGCTCCTGACTGAATGAATCCCTTTGGTCTGTAGTTTTGCTTGTCCTTGAGTAATGAGTAATATTGCCAAATAACAGGTTAACATTTTTAGAAGCCATTTCAATATTTAGCAGTATCTGTGCAGTGAGATCATTTGAATGAAGGTATGTCACTGAATAAGATGGATAAATCCATACAGCAGATGAGATCCTGTGTTGCCGCAGTGTGCTGGTTTAGCTGGTGTCACTGAGAGTGGCCAGTATGGAGCCGGCCTGCGAGGCAAGTTTACTGCTGCTGTGATCTGTCAGTTTACTGAGGCTTTCCTTCATGTTCACAGAGTTCAACTCCTCCTTCATCACACCTAGAGCAGACAAGGACCGAAAGAACGAGAGAGAGAGAAGTGTGAAATTGATTGTAACTAGTAGTGGAGGTTGAAATACATGTGATAGGATGTATTCAGGCCAAGAGTATTCAATGAACATTCATGTGTGTATGAATGTAAATGTTGTGTGTGTATTGTGTGTCCAATACGTGACTTTTCTCTCTGTCTTTAAAATGAGGAACAGAAGATGAAATGCTTTTTCCTTCAGAGCACAACAGCAGAAATAGACACACATGCAGTCAGGACTGGTAATCATTGTTTAATGCAGTAGTACAACAAGCTATAAAAAGAACCAGCGTGTCTTTAGTAACATCTCTACTGACTGCCAAAACTGTAGTCCTTCTTATGGCCAATGGATGCTGGTTCCAAAGAGACATTAAGTGTTCTGTAAGCTCCAGACTTCTCTCAACAAAGACACAAACTGGTGCCTTAAAGAAACAGTTCAGATTTTTTTAAGTGGGGTTTTATGGTGTACTTATCTATACACAATATATTACATAAAGTCGATGTCATTCAGCACACCCCCAGTTTGGAGAAGCAGGCTGGAGTCTAACATGGAAGCTAAGCAATCTACTGCTGTGGGAGGGTCAGCAGCAAAACATATTTTAGCCACCTAAAAAAAGGTCCCACCAAAAAAAAATCAATATCTCTCAAAGTGTACGCTATATTTAGAATATTTTGACAGCTTTACCTTAATGTAAGACAGTGATTTCCAATGCAAAAATGAAGCTGTTGTATCGCTCCCTTCAAAGACTCCACTGATAAAAACAGTAATTTAACATAACTGAACACAGAAGCTGCTGGTCCAACATATTGTCACTCCAAACTAATCACATATCACCGCTTGCTCAGTGGACTTTTGATATCTACATATGACGCTTGAGGTATCCTGGGTGCATCTGTTGTTGACATTCTGGGAAGCTGTGTCAGTTTCCGCCTGTTACATGCTTTGTGTCTTTTTTAAAAACACACTTCCATGTTCAAGGGAAATGTTTCGTTTTTGCTCAGTAGATGCATACAGTCTTTATGAAATTACAATGTTGGTAAAACACCTCTTATTTATGTTTATATCCTTGTGCAACAAAAGCACGTAGTTAGGTTTAGAAAAAAAAAAAAAATCATGGTTTGGGAAGTGGACAGCAGACTCCTGGGTGAAAAGTCCAGGGTTTGTTGGACCCACTAGACTTTCCAGCTCCTTAAGTTACGTTGATTTCCAGCAGCATCTCAAACTGACACTGCCTGGTGGCATTATGAAGTGATGCTGCCTGGCAGTGTATCATATTGCTGTGAAAGGATGGCTCTACTGGTTGGTGTCTGATGTTGAAATCACTGACCAAGTGGCAGAATTTGACAACATCTGAATTTTGTTTGTTATGTGTGATTTTGGTGTTTAAAGGGGTTAGTTTGGATTCACCAAAATCACACAATTTTCTGATGGAAAGGTAAAGGGACGAAAATACTGTCAATATAGTGTACACTATTACTGACTTTTTTTTTTAGGTGGTTAAAATGTTTTGTTGCTGACCCCTCTACAGCAGTACATTGCTTAGCTTTCATGTCAGACTCCAGCCTGCTTCGCCAAACTGGGGATGTGCAGACTGACATCTACTGTATGTAATACACTGTCTATGGATTAAGTACCCCATACAACCCCACTTCAAAATATCTGATCTATACCCTTAATGGTTGAATTCAGTACTTGAATGTGTCTTTGTGGTGATTTTGTGAGTCACAGCTTCATCATTTCGATTTTAAAGTTTACAGATGAGTATGGTGGCTAATTCACTCTGGCCTCTATTAATTGAGCTCTGTGCTGTGAAACATCCATTCAGAAACCTGGGGGTCATACCACTGATTCCACATCTGTGTTTTCTACAGCCTATGATTAAACCACAGCTCAGACTCTGTTTTAGTATCAAACTAATATAAACTGTCACCACCACCACCTCCAGGTAACAGCTGAGTGATTTAAAGTTTGCCTTCCATGCTGCCTGCCTGTACCTCATTACCTGTAATCCCATCGTGCTCATCATCATCAAGAGATATGAAAATGTATGAGAGGCATAACCCTTTTACAGTTCTGGCTGTGTGGGCACCCTCACTCTCTTGCTAACTGTGTTGCACCTGTTCGAATGGGAAAGCTTGCAGTTTCTTATGGAGTTTTGTGACAACAGCAATTCTCAACACAGCGCTGCCTAGCTCTAACCTTGCCAGCCAGAATATGTTGTGCAGAGGCTTTAACCTTCATGTTGTCCAAGAACTTGAAGTTAAACTGCCTCATATAAGGTAAATAAAAAGTGTCTGTAAAATATGTAGTTAAAATTGATAAAAATCAGATTATATTAGAGTCCTATCAGTTTTTGGGCCCCTCTGAATGCTGGGGCTAGGAAAGTCACTTTGCTTTTTAAAGAAGCTTCTGTACAATGAGAAATGTGTTTTGTGTTTACACCTCTGTGGGCCTTCAACAAACTGCAGTTTCAAGGAGCAGTGTGAAGGATGTAGAGGCATCTAGTGGTGAGGTTGCAAATTGCAACCAATTGAATACCCCTTCCCTCACCCCTCCCTCTCCAGTATGAGAACTCATGGTAGCATACAGGTGTCACCACTTTTTTTGTCATCTCTCTTGTTTACCAGGCCAGTAAATCTTATTGGATTACTGTCTTCTCCGGTGCTCATGGTTTCAGTAACTGTACGTTCACACCAAAAGCTGCCAGAGCTGCAAAATAGCTGAATTCCCTCTAGCAGCACCGCTGGTAAAATATTTGTGGCAGCAAAAACAGCTCAAGTCGCTCATGACGTCAAATTCTGAACGTTCTATTATGCTTAAGCTGCAAAGCAGGTTACTGGCTGGAGCACAGAAATGTGACTTTGTGCATTTGCCTGAGGACAGAAACTTTCACATTTGGACAATGAAAACAGAATAAAAAGTCTAAATAGGTCTGACATTAAACACACACAGCCTGTGTTGCATTCAGGCGTTGTCACATAAATAACAAATTCCAGCACTTGAATAGGCCGTAGCACAACACAGCAGCATGTCAAGTGGGCCGAACTCGAACCAAATGAGTTGCATTCCCGCTAATAACAAGCGTTCCACACTTGTGTATTGATTCAACATGGAAGAAGACACATAGGCGTGGATGTAGCTGCTGTCGGGTCTGGGTTCACGATATCCTCCAGGGCCATGAACAGCACGGGGAATATCATCGGCTAGTGCAGGAGCTGCTGCTGGATGAGGAGAGGTTCCAGAGCTACTTCAGGCTGAACATATCAGTCTGACAGCTTGCTGCTTGTTTTGAAGTAGGAACGAATGTGTTGTAGGAACTAAAAGTTTCCGTCGATGTTCTCTGGGATCCGCGCAAGTGAGGGACATCTACATTCTGATTGGTTGCTGGTCATTTGCAGCTCAAACACGTCATAGCTAATTTGCATAAAGTTAACCAGTCTTCAACTGTCCTTTGCAGCTCAATTCGCCAAACTGCTGCTGCTCATTGCTTTTGCAGCTCAAAACGCCTCTAGTCGCCACATGTCCATTGAAAATGAATTAGACCTGTCGCCTTTGCAGCTCTGGCAGCTTTTGGTGTGAACGCACAGTAAAATGACCTGAATGATTAAATTGTGGAGAATCTAACCAAGCTAACAATGTGTAGTGGCAGTAGTGACAAACAAACCAACCAAACAAATCACCTCTCTGAAGCGGATGGACTAGTCCTTTACCAGGACCGAATAGTTATTCCAGCACTGCTGAGAGTCAAGGTGCTGAAACAAATCCATGACGGCCACCAGAGGTTAACAAAGTGCCGTGAGAGAGTTAAAATGTCAGTCTGGTGGCCAGGTATTAGCAGCGACATAAAATAGCTGGTGATGCAGTGCAACTTCTGTATCCAACACAAACCAAAACAAAGAAGGGAGCCCCTCATCACCTCGCCCCTGCCAGAAGGACCCTGGCAGAGGATTGCTGCAGACCTGTATGAGCTGCGCGGGAAAAGTTATCTGATTGTGGTCGACTACTATTCCCGCTACATCGAAATGGCTCATCTCACATCCACATCAAGCTTACAGGTCATCAACAGACTTAAAAGCATATTCGCCAGGTGGGGGATACCACTGGAGTTCATTAGTGATAACGCCATGCAGTTTGCCTCAGCAGAGTTCAAAGACTTCAGCAAAGAATACAGGTTCACCCACCATGCAACCTCCAGTCCCCACTACCCTCAGGCAAACGGGGCAGCCGAAAGAGCAGTTCAGACTGCCAAAAGGATTCTCGACCAGCCTGACCCGTCGCTAGCCCTGATGAGCTACCGGGCGACGCCCATCGCCGCAACAGGGGCCAGCCCGGCTCAACTTATGATGGGACGACAGATTCGCACGGCTGTGCCTATGTTGAAGAGGAAACTACAGGCAGATCCTGTCAGCCAGGCCCAAGTTCTGCTGATAGATAGTAGGGTTAAAAGAGCATATGAACATTTCTATAAATGCAGACACTCTGCCCGCCCACTGCACACTGCATCCAGGACAGGCCATAAGAGTGAGGCTGGATGGGGAAAAAGGATGGAAGACCCCTGCTGAGGTGGTCGGACAATCTGCGTAACCACGATCCTACCTCATCAAGATGGATTCAGACAGAGTGATGCATCGCAACAGGAAACACCTACAGGCAGTTCCAGTGTGCATTGGCCCTGCTGACCAGCTGTACGTCGGGAGGCCACCCACAGAGACTGCACCGGAGACTCCCCCGCGGCCCTCCTCTTCCCAGGGGATAACCAGACTGACCACAAGGGGTCGTGAGGTTAGACTCCCTCTCAGGTACAGAGAGACTGAGTGACTTTATTATTAACTTCAACTTGGTGAGTTGAAAGTGGAATAAGGGACACTTATTCATTTTGAATGCACTTTAATTTGTTCTGTTTGAGTTAGGATGCCCCAATGGGGGAAGGTGAAGTTTATAGCACCAGGGAGAACTCTTAGCCTATATGAGAAAGAGAAGGACTTTTTAGTTTTATTCTTTAAATTTAGAACAACACTAGACAGTTGAGCTCAGATCTAGTTTGAAGTATTCATATTTGATGTTTAAGTAATGCTATGAAAGAGTTAAGTGTTTGGCATAAGCTTACATAATTGTTTTGTGCTTGTTTACTAAAAGAGGGAGATGTGATGACATTCACTAAATACAGTCAGGCCACGGTAGTCGAGGGGTAATGACGTCACGAGAGGGGACTGTGTTATTACTTGGCTGGAGTTAACACAACCTACAAGCGTGTGTGGTTAACGTGACACTGACAAAGTTTTAACATTTATATTTGTATATGCCATTGAAGCAGCTAACTAATGTTAGCTCAAGTGGGTAGCCTACAACTTGGTTTCATGCATCCAAAGAACGTCTATAAAAATAAACTAATGGGCAGCCAGACCAGGCATCTAATTGAGACAGGCCTTTATTTGTCAAAATGTGTAACTGGGCTAGTAAAAGGGACTTAGTATTTAATAATTGACACTAGGCTTTTATCTGAAGTTTTACAGTAGGGCCTATATGCTGTTAGTCAAAGAAACGGACTTCCATTTCAAGCTTTCAGAAAGATGAAAAATCTGCATTGCATCATCCTAGTTAGCTCTCTTTCCTTTATCATTTCTGTCTCTGCTGTGTGACCACAGACATTTGAGATTTTTGGCAGAAACCAATAACTTACTGTGCCACTGAAAAACACCGCAGAGTGCACAGATGTTGCTAAAAAAAAAAAACATTCTAGAACATGTGTTGTAAAATCAAACACATACTGGAGTTAGCCAGGCTGCAGATGAGACCCAAAGCACTGAACTTGACTTCGACCGCCCCTACAGGATCCTCCAACATCTTTTTCAGCATGGGCAACAGCTCTGCCTCCCTGAACGGATCCTTCATAGACTCTGTAGTTCACACACACACACACACACACACACACACACACACAGGTGAACACACATATAAATCTATGTCTACATATCATATCATATCATGACACAATTTTTTCCCTAGGAAAAGCAATGCACCAAAATTTGTACATATCCTACGTATTTTGAAAGGCTGTGATTACGTGACCAATGCGCTGATGGCAGTAAACAAGGAAGCAGTCTGGAGCACTTGTAGGGAGGCAGGTTGCCACGATGGGTCACACACACACACAAAAAAACAAACAAACTTTAATTTCGTAACTGTACATTTAGGATGTAACATCATTCATGGGAGGAATATTTGTACGATATCATACCAACTGGTGTGCATGCATTTTAATAGGATATTATACAAACCGTTCTATGAGAATAGATAGAACTTAACTATCCCAACTAGGCAGTACTTTGAAGTGTATTTCTTGGTGTAGCACACTAATTTATCGAGCTGCATTTGTATGTCATTTCTAGCTATAGTTTAGTCTCTAGAGTGGCCATGTATGTATTAGTTTGTTAAGTAGCTTTTAAATTTCCTTTGCAATGTTATATTATACAGCACAAGCAAATACATTTGCTTCCTTGGTTTTTCTTGAGCTTTGGTGCCATGTGAGTGGCAGCAACAGTTACTTTCAGTTTTTCCTGCTCTTTTAAAACATTCTTAGTTATTGTTTGTTTTTAAGCTTAGTTGTGTGAAAACTAAAGTTCTTTCTTATCTTATGTTATCTTTATGCTGAGTGGTTCTTTGTTTCTACATAATCCATCACAGCAGTGGAACATGCATGCCATATGGCATCGTTTCACAGTGTTTATTTTTAGTCATGGGCTAATAATAAACCCTGGTTAGCCTGAGGCGCAGCTGTCCAACCAGTGTGGTGCTCATTATTACTTTCACACAACAGATCCTCATTCTTCCTCCCCATGTCTACATTTGTGAAATTAAACAACATACATATAATTTGCCAGATATCTTTTTTTGGCTGATAGATAATATGTTACAGATTATGTTCGTTTAGAGAGAAAGAGTGCTGGCAGAGGCCACATTCAGAGCAGAGCAGCTTTCCATGTTTCTCTGTGTGAGAAAATACTGTCCAACTATTTACAAATCAGTGTGTGAACAAAGAAATAGAGATGATATAGTCTAAGTTAAGACACAACATAGGAGGCACTATAGCAATCAGAGCTGATAGCAACACCACCAATTAAAAATACAACATTTTGAGTTTCATGTACCTTTAAACATAGAAAATTTTTGTTCATTGTAGTTGTAGTATGAAAAAAGGAATTGCATTTTTTGTAAGAAAATACAAAAACAATATATTGTATGGGAACACAGAAGAATATTGCAAGAGAATAAAAGTCTGTCTCATTGGAGGCTTGTGAGCACACAAGCTGCTGTTAGACGTTCTCTATCAAAAGTCATATGGCTCAATGTCTATTCTGACGCTGGTATTAATAAGTCATATTAGTTCATCTTAACACAAACGTCAAATGCGTGTTGAGACAACAGAAAATGTCCTGTTAACAAGCACATCTCTGACATCTTAAGACATTTAATATTGGTTGCAACCACTTTACCAGTTTCGAAGGGGGAAACTGATGAAATAGTAATTGGTATGCATTGTATTTGTCCACTAGATGGCAGAATTAAATTAAAGTATAGTGTCATAGTCATCTATTCTGAGTTTGTGTTACTGATTAGCCTTAAAATAAAATAATTGCCTGAAGTTATTTGTTCTACTACTACTTTATATCACTGATATTACGTCTGCTGCTGAATTTGGTAGAACTCTGATTTAATAAGTAAGCAGTGATAAAAATATGTACACTGTGTCATTAAGGCAGACGAGTGGCGCATTAGCCAGTAAACATCACATTTATTCACTTTACATGGAGCCAAAATGAATCCAGAATTATGTAAATTTTTTGCCTGAATGAATCGTAAGAAATCATAAATCATCTTTTAGGAGTAGATGTTCATAAGCTCATCATAAGCTAGCTTGGGCTCCGTTAAATTAAAAGGGACATTGTGTAGCGTTTTCAATTGTTTGTTGACAAAAATCTATGTCTGCATTCATAAATATGTCATCATTGGTGCATTATTACCTCCACCAATAATCTGACTTATTCTCGTGAAAGGAGAATTTCAGATTTGTTTGTACATTGGGCGGGTAAGTCGTTTGGGGGGTTCCATAACGTTTCGCCATCTTGAAAATACATCCGCCAGCAAGGGACATATAGCTCTACCAGGGAATAGCCCTGCCTTCAGCGTTTTCGTTGAGAGCCAGGCCAGCGTGGCGTGACTGAGAAGCCGAAGGAGAGGAGCAAGGGGTGCTTCGCTACTACCCCGGCAAATCTGAAAGCCTGCACTACTGCAGCATAACAAAGTCCCACTCTTTGAGCAAAATGCTGGATCATGTATCACGGGAGACGGAATCCTCGTTGCCAAGAAAGCGCAAAAGGTAATCAAAATGGAAACGTGACTGGCGAATTCAAAAACAAGGGTCAGCATCGGGGTAGCCTTTCCCAGGTGGAAAGAGCTGCTGAAGGAGAAAGGTTTTAAAAGGGACGCTGTGGTTGGCCTGCTGGCCTGCCTGTCATTTTTTTCCCAACAGACAGGCCGGGCCAATGCAATCACAGGCCAGCACCGCTGTCAGCGGCGCAGTGATGCGAGGAGAGGGATGAGGTGTGTGAGGCTGAGCCACTTGTCAAAAGACAAGACGTGACTGGTTTGTTCAGATTTACACCCACCCCAACAGTCCTACGTTGTAAACACAGCTAGGACCCTACAATACCAGAGTGACGACACTTCCATTGACTCCTGTGGAATGCTAAAGTTAAGCCTCACGCTCCCTCTAGTGGGGCATGGGTGCATTACCTTTCCGACCAGAAAACCCATTCACTTACAGTATGTCTGACGCGCACTTGCTTGTAAGTTGATGAAAACGGCCTTGTTTTTACTTTTAGGTGTCTTGGTCACATTAAGTCATGCTTATAATTTGTTTAATTCAAATGTAGAGAGTAACATTATGGTAGACAATTGTTTTGGGGTTTTTTTACCTGTAAACGGGTCACCGATGCTCCTATTATGGTAATTATGGTAGATTATGCTTTTAGGTTTATTTGACTTTGGAAACGCCGGTGTGGTGTGGTGTAGTGCCGTGTTTGTTTATCCCTCTAGCTCTGCTTTCCAAAGCGCGGCCGAAATATATCTCGCCAGCTCTAGATAAAGCCCAGCTGGATACTACACCAGGTGGAGGTGTCTCGTCCTCGGTCACATCCAGACCTTGAAAATAAGGCTGCAACCGGTCCCATTCCTTGCAACAGAGGCATTCCTCTTCTGTGGGCACTGGGGCACAGCATTCACAGGTACACCACCAATCTCCAGAGCTACGCAGCCTTCCAGCAGCCATTCCTCCTCTCTCGTCCTCTACCTGTTGTGCCTCTCTCTCTCTCCTCCTCCGTTCTTCAATTTCATGAAGCTCTTCGTCAGTGTATTCTGGCTCAAATAAATAAGGGCGACCATCAAACTCTGCAAAATCAAATTCCTCCTCCACAAAGTCGAAGTCTGGCAAAAAGTCAGCCATTATTCTATAAATCTTTCATAAAATAAATGAATGAATTTTTCAGGCTACTGTCCGGTTCTGCCTTCCAGCTGTTGCTGCTTGTTCTTGTGAGATTTCGCCGTGCTTTGGAAAGCAGAGCTAAATGGTAAACAAATATGGCACCACACCGGTAAGGTAAGACAACACGTTTATATGTCGTTTTCTATGTTCTCTGACATTTATCCTAACGATATGAGGCGGTCTTTGTGGAAAAAAAGCTTGTTTAGTGGACTAACTTTGCACTTGAAGTATGCCCGTTCACTTACGTTTTAACAGGTCTGACGCTACTATGTGCCCCGGCTGTATCTAGGCTAACGGTTAACATGCTAACTATTATTTCTATGTCACTAGTCACTTGAAACAAATTTAGGACGATAGGAGACAGGTTGAAATAAACCGAAATTTCCCTTTAACAATACAAACATCAAAATAGACGTATAGAGCCATATGGCTTTCGATAGTTCTCCGACATGAGGCATCTATAGAGTGACATTGGGACCCATATATGTCTAGCATCTTGGAGCGCTAAAAGTAGTCCTAATTGGCTAAAATTTTAAAAGTGAGGCATTTTCCGTCCTATTTCTAGGCTTTGGAGTGACAACATTTTCCTCCATCAGGATTAGGCAGAGCTACAGAGCTGTCCTGACCAGATTCCAGGCAGGTCTGATATAAAAAGACAGACTCTTGCCAAGAGTTTACATATAATTCTAGTTAAAAGTTCTTGGAGTTATTCTGACATGCTTGTTGAATTTGGGCCTGTAACTAATGACTTTACATTGTATCTGAGGTTGCTTTACCGATGTCAATTGCAGATGCTATTGCCAGGGCAACCAGGGCCTCGTTCTGCATGATGACATGTTCACTTGTTGCCATGGAGATTAGGTGCCGAACCCCATCTGCTTTGGCTACAGCAAGGACAACTTCCTAAAAAAGAGAGGAAATCGGCTCATAACAAATGTTTAACTAATGTGTGTGCATAGAGTACATACTTTCATTACATTAAACTCCAACAAACTGGGTAGATTACCAAGAAGATGGAAAATGTAAGGTTTAGTTCTGATTTATGCTAGGTGAGAATAAATGGGCTCACAGGGCTACGGCTGTGTCTGATGAAGGCAGCCAAGAGGCGACTGGCTTCTCCTCGGACTCCTGCATGGTCTTTAGCTTCACACCACTCCATGACCCGAGCCAGCAGCACAGCATCTCTGCCCAGCACCAAAGCTGCCTCCTCTGACACACACAGCACAGCAGAGGAAATGTAAAAATACATTTAAAAACATTCAAATAGAAGGTGTAAAATCACATACAACTAGGAAATATGGCCACAAATTGATGTCAAGTTGTATGACAAAACGTCTGGTTTTGGATGAGGATGGTGCTAGAGGAAATATATATTCTAATCAAATGGATTTATACCCCTGGAAACACAATTTTTTCACTATTTTTTCACTCTGTGTTACAGAGCAAATAATGAATCAATTAATTGAGAGAATTGAAATCACGCATGTCCAAAGTGCTACTCCAGGGCCAATAGTGGCCTGTGGACTGATTTTAAACAACACGGTCTCACTCCGAAGTCGTCAAAAACCGGCACTCTGTCAGTGACGCCGACAAAAAAAATGGCGTTCTTTAACCTCTTCATGATACGCAGCCAGTCGCTCTTATTGTTTAACCGCACCTGGCGGCGTTAGGGGGAAATGTGGCAGGACAATGACAAAAGTTAAGGCGGCGGAAGTTTGACTAGGGCAGGCAGGAGAGGTGGTGGATGGGTCCAACAACCAACAACTTTCATCCGGGAGACCGGTGTTTGCTTCCTGTAAGATTGTAAAGCCAAATCCTATTCTTTTTTCCTGAACCCAACCACATGCTTTTGTTGTTGAAGGACAAAAAATGCCAATTTGCGGTGTTTATTGTGTTTATTAGTGTGTTTATTTTGAAAGAGACTGTATGCAAACTGTACATTTCCTGTGAAAATTGAAGTGTATTTTGAAAAAAGACAATACATGTAACAGGCTGAAGTTGACAAAGCATCCCAGAATGTCATCAGCCAGCGCACCCAGGATACCTTGCATGTCATATCTTGACGTGGAAAGTCCATGACCAAACATCGATATGTGACAAGGTTGAAGTGAGAATGTGTTGTTTTAAACTCCCCACGGCTTGTCTTTCAAAATATGCTATATGTCACCTGCTACACGATATTATTCACTGCATTTTTTCCATTCACCTCACAAGGGTGGGACTATCACAAGCAGGCATAACAAATGTGTTTTTATAGATAGACAGTTAACAAGCGAGCAAACTGTTACCTAACAGCAGTCATTTCCTGCTAAGTAGCAAACATGGCCACAGCTAAATGACAGCAAGGGCTGCTGCTGGCAGGAGCAGTGGAAAGTTGCATACTTTTTCACTGAAAGATGAAACCTTTACTTACTTTACGTTTGTCTCATTTGTATGGGATTTTTTAATTTTTATTTTTAGTAGCCTATATGATGCAAGAAGCAGCTGGCCCCCACGTATTTTCACATTATCTAATCTGGCCCTTTATTCAAAAACATTTGGACACCCCTGGTTTAAATGGAGTCAGGGAATGGATGAATAAATGACAAATGTAAAAGTAATGCTTCTTCTGAGGTCAGAAGTCTCATTCTGAAATATCATGAGATGTCACTTGTAGCATTAAAACAACAGTGTTAACATGTGTGTGGGTTCTTTAGAGGGTAGAGTAATCAGATTAGTTTACAATAAACATGGTTTGGTGTTATCTAAAAGATATTCAATGTCATGGATGATTATTTCCCGGATTTTAATCACATGGATAAGGAATTTGAATTTGACCGCCACCCTATTTATGGATAATGACAAAAAGGAGGCGTAAAATACCAACTGATTCAGCAGTGATTATAACAAATCTGTAGACTGATTCCCCATTTTCATCAGCTGACATTCAAAGTATATAAATACACACACATATATATACATATATATACATATATATATACTGAATGCCAGTAGCTGTGCTCACCTTGTCCATCCACCATCATGCGTAGTGTACCCAGCAGTTTGAACTGAACTGGTGGCATGTCAGAGCGCAGCAGGGTCTTTATTCTTTCAGTCACCCCATCATCCAGCATCCGCACTTTGTTGGTGGCTGAAAGACACAGAGCATCTATGTCCTCTTAAATAGAATTTAGTTGACGGACTTTATTTTAACATTAACACGTATGTTTACAGTTTTGGTGATTTATCTCTCCTGATGACATGTAATGTATTTCTCTGAAGATAACTAAGTGTGTTTCTTAGTGTGAACAAATACATATATGTATATACAAATACATATA